GGAAATTGCTAGGGGAATCCTGAATGAGCTGGGTTCAAAGTCAGAGCCTCTAACTCACCCTCGAGATGTGGCTACCTTTCCTGGTACAGTTGGCTCTAGCACACCGAGAGTCACAAGGAAGGTGACTCTAGATCTATCTGTACTTGGACAAAACAGAGATTTCCGAATGACAGTTCCCAGGGACTGGCAGCTCACTGACCTGTACCTAGCAGAGGGAGACGTTTGTCAGGTTATTCTGCCTGAGACTTTATCAGAGGCACAAGCACTGCAGATCACTGTTCGCATTGGTGCACATGTCGACTGGCTTCAGCCTCATTCAGCTAATGTCATCAATGGACAGTTTGAACGCATGCCCATAGTGTCTGAGGTATTCGATGTCAAGCCGGGAGTGAATGAGATCAGAAGTCAGTATGGAGGTAACCTCATATTTATATTCAGTGAAGGGGAGAATTTCACAGTTGATGTTGATATTACGAACGTGGTCGAGGCGCCATACTATCGATATGGACAGACATCGAATGCAGAATGGGACACTATCAAAATGAAAGATGCTCCTCAAACTCTGATGGAATCTGATAAATGTGTGGTTGTTATTGCCACAACAGATGCAAGAGGAATAGCCAGTCCTGACGAATTGATGTCTCGTTATGATGAAATTGTGGAGATGCTAAATTACGCTGCAGGTTTTGATGAGTCTGAAGTGCCACCACGTGGGAAACAGTGGCTGGTGAATGATACTCAGATCACAGCTGGATCAGCCCACGCCGGATTCCCGGCTATGTTTTGGCGTGTGTATTATAACATGGCTGATAATCGTACTCCTTATGATTGGGTAAGTTGGCATGAACTTGGCCACAACTACCAACAAGGTCCATACTGGTCAGGAGCTTATGGTGGCGAATCAACAGTCAACTTATTTTCGTTGTACATTCAAGAGAAGCTGTTCAATAGTGACAGACTAGAAGAGCAGAATAGTTACGCCACAGCAGCCGATAAAGTGGACAATGGAATGACCTTCGACGAGGGAGACGTGTGGGATCAGCTGGTGTTCCTGATGGAGATCAAGCACGCCTTCCCCGAGGGATGGGAAATGTTCCGTCAGCTAAATCGCACAACTCGAGCTCTTTCTGACGACGAGGCCAAATATCTGACAGAAGATCACCAGCGGCAGATCGACCATGTGTACAAGAACCTAAGCAAGAGTGTGGGCTACGACCTGGTCCTTACCTACGATCGCTGGGGTCTCAGCCTAAGCCAGGAAGCCAAGGATGAAATTGAACAACTGGGTCTGGAGAAGGCGCCGGGAGACCTCTCTCACCGACCCACCAAAAAGCCTTCTCAAGTAACAGATATGTCCGACGCTCAAATGTATACACCCTGTGTTATCATACACAAGAAGATTTAAGGAATAAGACTCCTAAAGATTTAAAGACTCAAACTTGATAGTTTAAAGATTGATGATACAAAGATGAGATAGGAGGAATCGGATTTTTAGTTTTCAGGTAATATTATGATTTCACAGTGAGGATATTTAGATTTCTTACTTAGCATTCAATTCTCTAGTATCATAATATACATGTTATGCATTTGTGATTTTATTATATCTAGCTGTGAATTAAGATATGGAGATATGGCACAGACGTAATGATTATATTATCTTTGCTTATTATCTTTGCATAGTTATAATAACCTCTGTAGTATTAAAGAGAACTAACTGCATTATTCCAATAAAAAATCGCATTGTGGAAACTACATCATTAAACCCAAATGGAATTCTATCTGGTATTTGTATTTACAGTAGTGATAATGAAAATACTGATGGTAATATAAATAAAAGCACAACTACAAAGCTCTGTTATGATGGTATTGATAACAGGTATATTATTACTAGTACCAGTAACACTAATGGAGGTGATAAGAAAGTTGTTCTTAATAACACTGATAAACTATGATAACGCTAATAATAGTATTCAAATTGATACCGGCAATGACAGTAGTAATGGTAATAACATCAACATTATATATAATGAAGAGCATAAGGCATTGTTATTACTATTAAAGATTGAATATCATTAACAATACCATTGCAACTACTACTAATACAACAACACTGATAAAAAGGACAAGTTATCACATACTTATAATAATATATGTGATGTAACTATTGCAATCATCGTCTCTTACTTGCCTCTGTGATGAAGATGGTACTCATGTAATGAATAAAACAATAGAACGATGATAACAAGTAATGACAATAATGATTATTATAACATTAACTGTAGTGGTAATAATAATAATAATGTAATAGTAATAATAATTATAACAATAATAATAATAATGATAATGACAATGATAATGATCATATTGATAACGATAAAAGTAATGGTAAAAACAATTTTATAATAATAATAATCATAATAGAATAATAATCGTAACAAATTACCTACAAAATAACACAATAATACTAATCATCACCATTATCATAATCATTCTGACCATCAGAATAATAGTAGTAGTGATCATGACAATAAAAAAATAATGAGACTAATACAAAAACAACATTTATGATAACTAAGACTTTTATAAGGGCAGAGATAATAATAATAGTAAAAAATATAATCGATGTGAACTTAGCTGCACTAGAATGTGCAAAGTCTTACTTTCTTTCCCTTGTTCCTTTATTTTTCCATTCGTTCTCTTTCCCTCTTTCTGTCCATCATTAACCGTTCTGTCTACTGCTGGATCATTTTCTGACTGGAACTGCTAAATTTCCACTGTAAACTTGCTATGCTGCATCTCAGCGGTTCTACTCTATCTCTATCGTCGTCTGTATAAAAGTTTCATCCAAAAACCTGAAACCACCTGAGAAAATAACAGCCTAACCTGCAAAAATCTGAATCAGACAATAGTAGCAATAGTCAATCGCCTATTGTGACGTCATCAAAACGTTCCAAATTTCTCTAGGACTTTCATTTCTCTTGTGGCCAGGCACACTTCAAGGGAGATTTCCGTTAAAAATACTTTCTATATCAAACTCACTTGCTGATAAGTTTTATGAACAAAATATTATGGCAGAGTAAAACTGGGAATGGCCATCACCTCTAAGTTGAAATGCAGTACAACTATAGCATGATATTGATGTACTATCATTTATTATTAGCGTTATGAGAAATTTGAAAGATTTTCAGGAGAACTGCTAGAAAAACTGATAACCACAACCAATGAATCTAAGGCATACTATGATGATATAAAAACTCTTAGCAGATAACACTTCATTTTTATTATATTATCGCACATCTAGTAAAAATCAAGACAGGAAAACCCTTTCGTGTAGAGATTGAGAATGCATTTATCTTTGTTGTTTTCTGTCCATCATTAACCGTTCTGTCTACTGCTGGATCATTTTCTGACTGGAACTGCTAAATTTCCACTGTAAACTTGCTATGCTGCATCTCAGCGGTTCTACTCTATCTCTATCGTCGTCTGTATAAAAGTTTCATCCAAAAACCTGAAACCACCTGAGAAAATAACAGCCTAACCTGCAAAAATCTGAATCAGACAATAGTAGCAATAGTCAATCGCCTATTGTGACGTCATCAAAACGTTCCAAATTTCTCTAGGACTTTCATTTCTCTTGTGGCCAGGCACACTTCAAGGGAGATTTCCGTTAAAAATACTTTCTATATCAAACTCACTTGCTGATAAGTTTTATGAACAAAATATTATGGCAGAGTAAAACTGGGAATGGCCATCACCTCTAAGTTGAAATGCAGTACAACTATAGCATGATATTGATGTACTATCATTTATTATTAGCGTTATGAGAAATTTGAAAGATTTTCAGGAGAACTGCTAGAAAAACTGATAACCACAACCAATGAATCTAAGGCATACTATGATGATATAAAAACTCTTAGCAGATAACACTTCATTTTTATTATATTATCGCACATCTAGTAAAAATCAAGACAGGAAAACCCTTTCGTGTAGAGATTGAGAATGCATTTATCTTTGTTGTTTTCTCATTATCACCTCGACATGCATCCAGTTTACCTTGGAAGAGAGAACAACCCAGTGGCATATAAAAACCTTGCAGCTGGTAGGCCCTGTCGAACGAAGGAGACTCAAACTACCATGGCAGGTAGGAAGGAAAAGAAGGGCCTTTTATGGTTTACTTGAGGTGATCTACTTGGTACAGAATTAAATGTATTTTCTGGAGTACCAATTTTATAGATGAGACTTGGTTTGCAACAAAAGATATAGTAAAGATATAGAAGATATATCCAATAAATTAGGCAAATTATTGTGGTCTTTCTTTATACGTCTATTGATTTACGTTACGTGACCTTTGAAGGCCCTTTAAACTAACACCACATACCTGTGAAGGAACCAAAGACAACACGAATGTAAATGTTCGTCGGGAAAAAAGATGCATCCATGTATTGGCTTAGAATTATAATATGAAATTTGAATGTCATCAAAGTGACAAAGTTTGAAATGTAATATTAATAACATTATCAACGAGTCTGTTCTTATTCCTGGATTCATAATCCCGAAAATAATGATATTTTAGAGCAAAAGTAAAATTGATATAATCTGGTCTCAAATTTCTCATCCAGGTCTCGTAAAGAAAAGGAATCAACTCAAAGATGGAGAAGCTACATATCTCATCCACCAAAATTCCAACACGTGCTTGAGCGTCACCGAGGGATCAAGCCCTGAGGACGCAGTGGTGTCGATGGCTAAATGTGCCAACATTCAGAATCAGCAATGGATCAAATCTAGTGGCCAGTGGCTGTGGGGAGAAAATACAGCTTACTGCTTAGTGCCTGTTGATGGGAGAAACAATGTAGGTCTGGGTGATGCTAAATCTTCCACAATTTCATGGGTCTTTGATGAGGATGAGAGGATACGTCTGGGGTCAGATGCTCTGGAGGTCCCATGGCAAGAACCAAGGACGAAAGTTGTACTGAATCCCCAAAATGATAATTTAAGCCAAAAATGGTGGATCGATGCTGTGAACTCAGAACCAGAATTCCTCATCAACCAAAGCAGCAATACGTGTGTTGGTGTGCGCAGTGGTTCAAAACCAAGTGATGCTGTCGTAGGAATGATGCAAAATAGTGGAGACAAAGAGCAAATGTGGTTTACTGTTGGTAATTCGTGGCAGTGGGGAGGGAACCGTGCCTACTGTCTCGCACCCGATTACAACACACGGTCTGTCAAGCTAGAGGACACTGCTAGTTCTACAGCATCCTGGTACATGGATGATGCAGAGAGGTTTAGGATTGGCTCAGATGCTCTGGACGTGCCTCGGCCAGAACCTAGGACGACAGTAATTTTGTATTACCCTAATGATGGACTTCACCAAAAATGGTGGAAATTTTCTGATTTAAAGGCAGGCCTAGAAGAAGCTAAGCCGGCTGTCTACCCATTCCCTGGTAGTGATGAGACGACATACAAACAGGAATTAACTCGTGGACTCTTAAATGAGCTGGGTTCAAAGTCAGAGCCTCTTCTCTATCCTCGAGATGTGGCTACCTTTCCTGGTACAGTTGGCTCTAGCACACCGAGAGTCACAAGGAAGGTGACTCTAGATCTATCTGTACTTGGACAAAACAGAGATTTCCGAATGACAGTTCCCAAGGACTGGCAGCTCACTGACCTGTACCTAGCAGAGGGAGACGTTTGTCAGGTTATTCTGCCTGAGACTTTATCAGAGGCACAAGCACTGCAGATCACTGTTCGCATTGGTGCACACACTGACTGGCTTCAGCCTAATTCACCAAATGTTTCTAATAAATACTTCAGGCGCATGCCCAAAGTGTCAGAGGTTTTCGATGTCAAGCCGGGAGTGAATGAGATCAGAAGTCAGTATGGAGGTAACCTCATATTTGTGTTCAGTGAAGGGGAGAATTTCACAGTTGATGTTGATATTACGAACGTGGTCGAGGCGCCATACTATCGATATGGACAGACATCGAATGCAGAATGGGACACTATCAAAATGAAAGATGCTCCTCAAACTCTGATGGAATCAGATAAATGTGTTGTTGTTATTGCCACAACAGATGCAAGAGGAATAGCCAGTCCTGGCGAATTGATGTCTCGTTATGATGAAATTGTGGAGATGCTAAATTACGCTGCAGGTTTTGATGAGTCTGAAATGCCACCACGTGGGAAACAGTGGCTGGTCAATGATGCTCAGATCACAGCTGGATCAGCCCACGCCGGATTCCCGGCTATGTTTTGGCGTGTGTATTATAACATGGCTGATAATCGTACTCCTTATGATTGGGTAAGTTGGCATGAACTTGGCCACAACTATCAACAAAGACCATACTGGGCAGGAGTTTACGGTGTTGAATCTACAGTGAACTTATTTTCGTTGTACATTCAGGAGAAGCTGTTCAATAGTGACAGACTGGAAGAGCAGAATAGTTATGCCACAGCAGCCGATAAAGTGGACAATGGAATGACCTTCGACGAGGGAGACGTGTGGGATCAGCTGGTGTTCCTGATGGAGATCAAGCACGCCTTCCCCGAGGGATGGGAAATGTTCCGTCAGCTAAATCGCACAACTCGAGCTCTTTCTGACGACGAGGCCAAATATCTGACAGAAGATCACCAGCGGCAGATCGACCATGTGTACAAGAACCTAAGCAAGAGTGTGGGCTACGACCTGGTCCTTACCTACGATCGCTGGGGTCTAAGCCTAAGCCAGGAAGCCAAGGATGAAATTGAACAACTGGGTCTGGAGAAGGCGCCGGGAGACCTCTCTCACCGACCCACCAAAAAGCCTTCTCAAGTAACAGATATGTCCGACGCTCAAATGTATACACCATGTGTCACTCCTTGACATATATGACTAGAATATTTTGGCATACGCAAATCAATGTGCATACAAAAATCAGATATAGACATGAATTGATCTTGTTGATTCAGGGAACCTATAGTATGTACCAATATTCTGCCAATAGCTTCAAAATAACAATGGCTGTTATTTGATTACATTATTTTACTCTTATTTATAAATGATTCACATACACATAAGTCTATAAATTTTGTTTCATTGACCTAACATAACTGGTCTTATGGGTGGCCTATTTCTTGACTGGGTGAGTTTTAAAGCTGAAATGAATAAGGCCAGTGGAGTATTGTTATATTGCCATCATACAGAGAATGTACCAGCAGAGGTCTTATTTCCGCCGTCAAAATCTGTCGTGCTACACTTTCCTATGACTCTGTCCCTATTTGTGGAGGCGGAGTCATATATAAACAGCTGCACCTCGCTGATGAGCGTGCGGAGCGCCTCTGCCTAGTTTGAAACTGTGAGAAAATGGGAAGTTCAAATTTGATGCCGTAGTTCATGATGTATTATTCAGTAACGTTGAGGATGTTAACCCATTGCCGCCGGGGATGGCATGTACGTACGTGCCATGCCCACTGTGAGTCGACTTGTTCGATTGTTTTTACACATAGATGGCTACACTTGTACACTATGTATATATATTGTTTTTATTATCATTATTTATTATTATTATCATTTATGCTTTAGTCTTGGGCATATCCAGGCCTCCAAAAGTGTTTCATTACGAATCCCGAATCTCAAACAGATTCAGATTTTGTTTGCAGAATGTGTTTGAATGGTCAAAAGGAAGAATAAAAAAATTACTTCTTGTGTACGTATGATTGAAAATGAAGGCGTAGACTCATGTATCCTTTTAAATATAATTAATACCTTTTAATAAAAAGTGTCAGAGAGAGAGAGAGAGAGAGAGAGAGAGAGAGAGAGAGAGAGAGAGAGAGAGAGAGAGAGAGAGAGAGAGAGAGAGAGAGAGATAGGGAGAGAGAGAGAGAGAGCGAAGAGAGAGCGAAGAGAGAGAGAGAGAGAGAGAGAGAGAGAGAGAGAGAGAGAGAGAGAGAGAGAGCGAAGAGAGAAGAGAGAGAGAGAGAGAGCGAAAGAGAGAAAGAGAGAGAGAGAGAGAGCGAAAGAGAGAGAGAGAGAGAGAGAGAGAGAGAGAGAGAGAGAGAGAGAGAGAGAGAGAGAGAGAGAGAGAGAGAGAGAGAGAGAGAGAAAGAGGGAGAGAGAGAAAGATAGCGAGAGAGAGAGCGAGAGTGAGAGCAAAAGAAAGAGAGAGCGAAAGAAAGAGAGATAGAGAGCGAGAGCGAAAGAATGTAAGAGAAAAAGAGATAAATAAGCAAACAAGTAGTTCGATTGAGACTGATAGCTAGACATACCTACGTTCAGCATATCCACATACACCTATACACATAAATACAGCCGCAATGAGCAGCTAAGACGAGGGCTGAGGGAGAAGAGTGTGTATGCTTTCACAAGTGTTCCTCTTAGCATGACTCAGGTTGTTACTACAGCGACACATATGTGCAAGAGGGGGAGTATCCTGGTTGTAGGCGACCACCTTGCACGCGAAAAAAAGTGGAAACATCAACAGCTAAAAAGAGAAGAGGATATTGATAACTGTGCGAAACAAGGTCTTATAGATACGCCCCATCAGTTTTGGAGGAACGATTTATTTACAAGAGAGAGAGAGAGAGGATTTCAAGGTCACGAGATAACAGCGGAGACGGGAATGGCTGCCGAGACAG